CAACATTTTTTTTAATTTTTCTTCATGTCCAGTTACTTGAAATTTGCCCTATGAGGTGACACCATTTACCACTTCTGTTGTTGTCGCTCTCCAGTTTAACCACTCCCCTTGTCCAGGATGGCTATAGTATCAGGCTCACCAGGCTCCTCTGTCTCCTGTTCCTGGTGCTCCAGTATCCTTGAACACAACTGAGATAACATCCTGGACTCTCTATTCCAGATTTTCTCCCTTTGAGGCACTCTACTCCCTCCCACCTGTGTATGGTCACACTATTGATCACTAACTGTCCAGCTTGAGACCTTGATTGCATTGTTCCTTCTCTGACTGTTGCCTCTTCTCCTTATATTGTACTAGTCTTAATACTCCCATTCCAGAAATTTCATCCTCATGCATATTTCAAATGTTTTCCCTTATAGGTTTTCACGTTTCCACTCTCCTCATGATTGCAGATGTTCTTCTTACCCTGATCAGACAACATGATGCCCCATTATAATCCTCCCCCTTCAAGTACACTCAATTCCTTTCTCTCTTCTTTATCTGTCAATGGCAAGAGTGGTTATTCAAATACCTAGCTCTTCCCTGCCTGCACTAGTTGAGGCAAGGACTGCTAAATCATGGACAAGTACTGTATTTTGTTATGGTATGAAATTATCCTGATAGTCTCTTTGAGTTTGTGATCAATCTCTGACAAGCCATCCACAATGGCCCTCTATTCTAGTGTGCTTCTCTCATATGTGTTCTTGCCCTCTCTGTAACATGTTATTTTACAAATTCTCAGATCTCCCTCATGCTGATATTTTAACCCCACCATACACTTAAATGATGACTTCACCTCAAATATCCCTGGAAATAGAAACCTTCAGATGTCTTCTTTGTTTTTTCCTCAAAGTCACTCTACCTTATTGGTTGTTCTTATTCTGTCTTATAGGTTTGCTATCACTCTGTTCACCTTATAAATTTTAGACACATTCTTGGTTGAACCTCAGGCTATCTACTCTTAGAATATACTCCCCAGATGTATATTCTAAATATGTTGAATGGAATTTTCTGTAGATATATGCTAAGTACAGTTGATTTTTTTAATTTTAGTTTAACTATGATGTGTGCTTGTTGATATTTTCTGTGCATGCCAAATCTATTAGTGAGATGCGATATTAAGATACCACTAGTATTGTACTGAAGTTTGTTTTTCCATTATGTCCCATGGGTGTTTTTTTAAAATAAAATTCTGTGTTTCTTTCTTTGGAGCATATATATTTATAATTATTATATCTTATCTTCTTGATGTTTTTTTCTATTTACTAATATGTAGTGACCTTCTATGTCTCTTCTGACTGAGTTTTGGAGTGTGTTTTTCATCTATGAATACAGTTACTTCTGTTTGCTCTCAGGTTTCATTTGCTTGCAATTTCACTTTTAATAATTTTATTCTCAGTCTACATATGTCTTTGCCTAGGTGGTGAGTTTCTTGCAGGTACCAACTTGTTGGTTCTTGAGTTTTAATGCAGTTACCCAGTCTGCATCTTTTAATTTGAAAATCAGACCACTGATACTCAGAGTTATATTTGAAAGGTTTTTAGAAATGGCTGTGATTTTTTTTCTGGAAGGTTTGAATAATCTGTGGTCATGTTTTTCTCCCTTATTTGTCTTGGAGCTTTAATGATTTACTGAATTGATAATGTTTGATTCTTTCCTTTTTCTCACTTTTTTATCTGCTATTCTAGTGAGATTTATTATTTCCTATGATCTCATGGCTAGGTTGTCTTGCTTCCTATTCTGTGTGTAGGATTGCTTCATTATCTTCCTCTTTGCAGGATCAGTGGTTCAAAATTCCTTTCACTGATGCTTATCTCAAAAGACTTATTTTCCTTTGATTCTGAAGGATAACTTTTCTGAACATAGTCATGTAGGTGGCAGATATTTTCTCTCAAGATCTCAAGTACATCATCCATGCTCCCCTGGCTGCTAGTATTTCTGCTTATAAATCTGTTATGTGAGGGTCTTCTTAGTAAGCACCCTTCTCTTAATCATGTGCCTTGGGGTGTAGGTGTCCTGAAGAGTTAAGATTAATTCCAACTGGATATTCTAGGTTGCTTATCTGTCGCTTCTTTGGCTGGTAATAATGGGTTTTGAAACTCCAAGTATTCTGTCAGAGCATGATATTTTTCTCTATATTTCTCATACAAATAGAGGTCCTTCTGGTAGTTCAGATATGTTGTTATAGACAACACAGTGTGTAGGGCATCTTTTCTGTAATTATTTTTCCAGTATTACTTTTAGTGTTTGGTCTGAGGGGATATGGCAGCAACCTGTACTGAGGTCTTTCCTTTCCCCATGATTTCTTAAGCTGGAGATTGTCCAGAAGCAGGAGTTATGTCTACTTGTGGAGCCTCATCAGCTGTGGATTTCTCTCTTCCCTATCCATTAAATTGAAATTCCAACCAACACTTCAGCAGTACTAGGTCATGGCTTCAGCAAGGTAAAACTTCTCTAGATTGGCTGGAGTTATATCTCAGTGGCAAAGCACACACCCAATATGTTTGACGTTCTCTGTTTGATCACCAACATAACTCAGCAAAAAGAAAACAACAGCAGTACCCACAACATAACAATAAACTGGCTGAGCATGGTGGCACATGCCAATAATCCCAGCCATTCAGGAGGTTGAGGCAGGCGGATTGTGAGTTCAAATCCATCCTTTGCAACTTAGCAAGACTCTAAGCAACTCTGTGAGACCTGTCTCAAAATTCAAAAAAGAAGCCAGTGCATGTCTGTAATCTCAGTGGATTGAGAGGCTGAGACAGAAGGATTGCAAATTCAAATCCAGCTTAAGCATTTAATGAGTCACTAAGCAACTCAGTGAGACCCTGTCTCTAAATACAATACAAAATAGGGCTGGGGATGTGGCTTAGTGGTCCAGTGCCCCTGAGTTCAATCCCCAGTACCCATCCCCATTAAAAAAAATTGAAAATAGGGTTGGGAATGTGTCTCAGTGGTTAAGTTCCCCTGAGTTCAATCTCTGTTGTCACGTAAAATAAATTTAAAAGCCAGCTATATAAATACGGTAATAATCAATTACATTCAACAACAACTAAAAGAGCAGTAACAATAGATAATGGGAAGAAGAAGTATAGATGAAAAAGAAAGTCAAAAATAGTAAAAGAGAAACTAATTCAAAAAATATTGAAGTTGGAAAATAAAGGGGAAGGAAGAAGGGGAATTAAAAGGGAGGACGAAAAATATTTGTAGCAAAAAAGGGAAAATATTAACCAGGCAGGGGGCATTTACCTGTGATCCTATGGGCTCTGAAGGCTGAGACAGTGTTACAAGTACAGTACTAGCTTGAGCAACTTAGAAAGAAGGTATCTCATAAATAAATAAGTAAATAAATTTTGAAAACACCTTTTCCAGGTCATCTAACATTTGAATCCACCACGTATGTGGGAGTCAGTAAACTACAAAAGAAATCAGTTTCAGTTCCTTTCACTTCCCAGCAAACATGCTGGGATCAGAGACCATAGATTGGCTATACTGTGCTCCTCATTTCCTGTCAAGGAGGTTAAGTGTTTACTAGACAGGCATACTATCCCCGCAGGGGTTTTGTCTGGAAACCTGAAGGCATGTCAAATGTCAAGTCAGCTCTCCTTTCAGTGGTTTGCAGACCCAACATGTAGGCACACATTTGCCCCAGAGGCCTCTAGAAGGTGCCCATTGAGGTATACCTTGGGTCCTAGCCATGGTGAATCCCTGGAAAGCATGTGGGAAATAGTGTAATCCCAGGATCCGTGACATGGGAATGTCATGAATTGCCAGATGCTGTCTCTGAGCTCTCAGACCTGGTCCTTATGTGCAACCACATTGCCTGGTATTGCTCTTCTTCACAGAGGAAGGAACCACTTACCAATGAGAGCTCCATCCTTCCCCTACAATTTGATACTCTCAACATGTTTGTGTCAGTCACTCTTCCTATCTGAGACTGTAGAACACTAACTTACACCCAATCACTGTGGCAGGGTGGCCCAGGGACCTAAAATTGTGATTACCACATATTGTCTAAACCCCAGAATCGTGTATTTCCTAACAATGGCCCCTTCTTAAGACAGCTCTTGGTTATATCACTGTGAGAGCTTGCTAAGCAATGTGATGGATTTTTTTCTAAAGCTTGCTTGCTGTACAAGAGTATTCCCTCTCAGAACAATGCCCCAAATTTGATCTAAATCTTGTAAGAACCATGTGTTTCTCCCACAGCTAAGACTGCTGCTCTGCTGACACCATCTGGCTTGTCTGCCCTCTCCAGTTGACCTTATGCTTGCAGGTTGCTTCCCTCACCAGGCAGCTGGGGATGAATTTGTAAATTACTTTGTACATTTCTCTGGGCTGCCTTTCTGCTTCTCCCTGTTGTTTATCAAACTGAGTTTGATAAATAGTTCTTTATATTTCCTCTATTTCTCTTCTCAAAGAACAATTATACATTTGGTCCCTAATGTTTTTAACTCACAGTCACAACAAAGTTACCTATTTTCTGCTATTTACCTCTTATTTTTGAATAATAACTCATGAAAGAAGAATATGGAAAAAGAGTAACATTCTATGATACCTAGTGAAGTTGAGCAATGTTGCTATCTGAAATTCTCTTTTTGAGGAACTTTCAAAAGTGAGTCAAATTTTGATATTACATATCCAATCTGAACTCTGAAGCCTAGAATCATTATTGAAATATTTTTAGGCAAACCATGGTCCATTCATTTTTCAGTCTTAATGACCATATGATTATGATTTCTCCTGGATTCATGGCTGTCACCTGAGGTTTCTCATGATCTCATCCCAGTTCCGTATTCTATCCCCTGTGCTCTGGTCCTCCCACATCTCGGGCCATTGACACTCAAGTGTGTGTGTGCTCTATAAGAAACAATCAGATGCTGGCCCATTAACTTTTAGAGATCATTCAGAGAAAGACACTTTTAACTACTCAAGGTAGGAAACCTGACATTTCTAGAATTATGTTACCAGATCCTGTGAAAATCTCTGCAAATAGTAAGTTTATCTCAGATAGCAACTACCTCACAACTTCTACTGAGACATATAACTAGATTGTGCTGTGTTTAATCTCATTTTTTTTGTGTGTTTTACACAATTAATTCTCCTACTTATTTGGTAGGAATTGAAACTTAGCTGGTTTCCTGCTATAAATAATTCCATATCTTACACAGCAAGCTCTGCAATCTGAAAGTGAATTCTGCCAACTGATTGGTTGGGGGATCCAGTATGAGAGGACAAGAATACCCTTCTCCTTTTCTTTGTAAATATAACCATTGACGTGATTCTTTCTCCTCAGAGACTCCACAGGTCCGCCTGGTGAATGGTGGCAGTCGCTGTGCAGGCAGAGTGGAGATCCTTTACCAGTATACCTGGGGCACTGTCTGTGGAGATGGCTGGGACCTGAATGATGCCCACGTGGTGTGCAGACAAATGGGCTGTGGAATGGCCCTCGATGCCATAAACTATTCACAATTTGGGAAGGGATTAGGACCCATCTGGCTGGACGAACTGAAGTGCACAGGAGAGGAGGACCAAGTGTGGCAGTGCCCTTCTCTAGGCTGGGGACATCACTACTGTACACATGAGTGGGATGCAGGTGTCATCTGCTCAGGTATGGTCTGCACATTCTCCACTGCCTAAGGGAAAGAAAAGGACAAACAGTGTGTATTTGAGTGTAGGGAAATAAGAGACAGATGAGCCACAGAGGACTAAGAGTTCCCCTTGGACCCTGAGTGTTCAAAATAGCAGTGGCTAATGGGATTTAATTATTTCTTTTGAATCTCAAATATCGTTCTTTCCCTTCTCTGCAGTCATACTTGAAAAAATAGGTTTTTGGTTTTTTTGTAGAATTATTTTACTTAAAATCATCTTATAATTTGTTTCTATAATTTACTATTTATAGATTTACCTGTAAATTAACACACATAACTACTTTTCAAAAGACAGACAAGAATGGGGCTTGCTTTTCTCAATTGAATTGAGTGTTCATGTATGTATAGCCAGAGTTAATTTTTCATTGGGTTAGTAGGTGTATGGGCCCAGGGATGGGACTAAACATATCGCAGGGTAATTTAAGAATTACCACCAAATTGCAATTCTCTTTTCCATATTCAGACATCATAATTATCAACTCATTGGCAGGAAGGGCCAGAAAACTTTGAGTTAAATGCTCTGAGTCACGGGTTTTCTTTCCATTATTACTACATAGATTGTCTCTACATTTCTTTCTTAAAGGAACATCTGTATAAACTCATATGTGGGAGCTGAATTTAGCCTTGTGCTGGCAGATTAGTGTTGGATGAAACAAAATATTAATGCATATTTATTGTGTAAGATGTTATATAATTTAGGACTCAGATCAGGTTGATTGTTCAGTGATCTCCCACAAAAACACCACATTAACTTTAATTCACACACAAAAGAGACAATAAAGCAGGTGGGTGCATGCTTTCACATAGATTTAAAAAAGGCACATTGAAAGAGGAAGGAAGATAATACTTACCCTTTCTCCAACCTCAGGGAGCCCAATATGAAGAGAAATGCATACCTTTTGGAGAATGGAAAGGGAATTAATCCCAAATCTTAGACTTGAATCCCAGGAATAGGCCTGCCACAGTGAAACCTGGGTACCAACAGAGCCCAACAACCCTGTCCCCATGCCAGTAACCTCACACTGAGACTCTGGAACTCTGTTGTGTTGGGCAGCAAAACTGTCTCCACCACCACTTCTCCAACCTCTAGTAGAAGAGGGGAAAGCAAGAATCAGATAACAGTGCTGGCACAGGACTTTGTCTTGGAGTTCAGTGCCATACCAACCATGATCATATTCAGTAGGAATTAGAGGCCTCAAATGTAGAACAAAGGTAACTGAGCAAGACCTATGTACTGGTGGAACAAACTCAAGAAGAGCCTGAAGCACCTGTGGCTGGTTTCAGGAATCTAGAGCCTTGAGTCCACCTCAGGAGTAGGCAGCTCATAGCACTGAGTGCCTCGGTCCCTCCCCACTTCCGTGTTGCTTTGGCAGGCTGTGGCCTCAGTGTGTGATATAACATTGTAGGGTTGGAGGCCACAGGACTTCCCACCTCATTCTTCCTCAACCCCTGGCAGCACAACATGGAGAGAGTTAAGTCTTGTTGTGAAGGTGAAACATTATTTGGGCGATTGTGACTGGAAGCCTCGGGTTCTTATCTCTTTATATTAGGGTACAGATCTCAAAGATGAAAGATAAAGACTCTCAGGCATCAAGAGAAAAAACTATGAAATCACATGTCCCAATTCACCTGATGGCAGTGTTAACAGCAAACATATAGGTCAGAAGTGAGTGCCATGAGATTTTCATAGAAATTAAGAAAAACCTGCCAATCAAGAATACTGAATCCATCACATATATCCTTTAGACATGAAGGAGGTACAAAGACATTATCAGACATCCTGCTGCCCTAAATTACCATATGATACAGCAATCCCAATGCTGAGCATATGTCCAAAGAAGTGAAATCTGTATGTTAAAAAGACATCTGTACTCCCATGCTTATGGCAGCACTATATATTGTAGCTAACAAATGGAAATAATGCCCATCAGCTGATCAATGGATAAAGAAATGAAATACAATGGAATACTACTTAGCCATAAAATAAATTAAACATTTTCATATGACATAATACGCATGGGCCAGGAGATAATTAGGGTAAGTGAAATAAGTCAGGCAAAGAAAGACAAGTATCTTATAATCTCACTGTATGTCAAATATAAAAGAGTTGACCTCATAGAGGTTGAGAGTAGACATGTGGTTACCATAGACTAGAGAGTGTAGGAAATGGGAATGAAAAGCAACAGACTGATTGATGACTAATGGGTTTTACTTAAATAGGAGCAAAAAGTTCTGGTGCACTTTGGTACAGGAGGGTGGCTACAAAAAACAATAAGGAACTACATTTCACAGAGCTAAAAGAAAGTGTTTTGAAAGCTTTCAAAAAAAGAAATGAAAAGATTTGAAGAGACAAAGAAATGCATATATACATACATCAGCACATGAATTAATGAAATTTATATGTGTTGCAGTAATTCACTTGCAGGTCAGCATGGGAAAAGAAAGAAGAAGTAGAGCAAGCGAAGCAGCAGCAGAAAAGTCCTTTATTGTGTACAAGCAATCTTTTTATAGTATTGTGAACAAAGAAGGCAGCCTTCCAACATCAATAAATCAGGTCTTTCAGCTAATTAAACATAGCATACAGAAGTTTTACTTTCTAATCAGAAGTGACCCACTTCTCATGGCTAATCTATTCTTGGCCCGGAGTATGTTGAGCTCTGCTCTTTGTTAAGAACAGATAATAAAATTTTTCTCAGCGCCCTCCTAGCCCACTTGGCAGAACATACCATTTGCAGGCAAGTCCTCCCAAGGACATCAGACACCTCGTTTTCAAGCATGTCCGCTGTTACGTATCTATACCTTGACAGAATATCCCGTTTGCAGGCAGAATCCATCAAGGACAGTAATAGTAACACAGTTACATCTGATTCTCTACATATATGTACATTATGTCAGTAGATATCAGTTAGTTTAAATTTACTTAGATAAAAGTGAAGGAAAATATAAAGATGATTAGATATAGGGAAAATATATTGTTTATATCTAATGGAAATAATGATACAAGAAGAGTATGTTGTCAAATAAATTTTATAAAAATGAGACAGGAAGACAAATAGAATTTTCCAAAGAAGACAGAGGAAGCTTACAGTATGTGGGGGATTACCTTCAAAGGTTGATAAAGAGCACATAAGGATTATTTCAGCAGCATTTAAGACCCTGGTGTTGGAAGGGCAATCTGTGTACATTGTGTGAATTCAGTATACCCCTCCTGTACAAAAGGAGAAAAATGATTTTCAAGAGTGACTCAAGGTTGAGGTATTAGACAAAGTCAGAATAGAAAAAGAAAAGGTCCCTTGGATGATACTTTCATAAGAAACTTGAAACATGCCCAGGGGAGCAATGTGTCTATGGAGCTAAAGATAGGACAAAGATATGTATGACTGTAATTTTTAATTTACTCCAATGAAAAAAATTCATATGAATCAATAGATTTCTGCAGATGCAATTTTTCTTTCTTTTTTCACCCAATGGTTCACAAACTTCAAATGGCTTAAAACTGGGTTTCTCCCCACTGGATGAAAAGCTCTGCAAAGATAATGACATTATTTTCTTTAAATATATATACCCAGCACCTAAAAACACATCTGGAACATGACAGATTCTGAAAACATGCTAGTGCTGTGAATAACAAAACAGGGAAGCAGACTCTCAATATTGTCTTTATATACCTCTTTCCAATATCAGGACTAGGGAGAAAGTTCAGATTGTGTCTCCTTTGAAGACCTCTCTGCTGCATTTTTATCCTTTCCTGATCAGAGGCATTTTTTATCCATACTCAGTAAATTCCATTTTAATGACTTACTTTGAATAGAAAAATTACTGAACATGTTATTTTCCAGAGAAAGGATTTCCTTCTTCAGGATACCAACCTACTATTACATTACAATTGCAAATCTGTAGTTAGATGCTACCCCAAAGATCTGAACCGATACTCAAAATCACTTCCTGATCAACTTCAATAGACGTCTAATGGCTTCTTCCAACTCTACATATTAGTAACAGAATGATCCGTTGAAACAAAACAAAAAGGCAAATATGCACGCTCAAATCTCTTCACAACTTCTGGTTCTACTTCTTTTGGGGGTGGGTAGTAAGGATTGAACTCAAGGGCACTTAATAACTGAGCAACATCCCCAAGACTTTTTTTGTATTTTTTTAGAAGGTAGCAGACTGATCAATGAGTTATTTAGCACATTGCCATTGCTATGGCTGCTTTGAACTCAAGATCCTCTGGCCTTAGTTTCCCTACCTACTGGGATTATAGGCCTATGCCACCTCACCCAGATGATCCTACTTCTAAATTCTCTTTCTGTCTTCTTTAATGGGAAGAATGGTGTAAAGAACCCAGATTATCTTAGTCATCATAACCTACTTTTCATCTCTGTCTCACACTATTTTGTGGGCTCTTTTTTCATATCTAAATGAAAAATTAATGTAAATTGTCATTTTTGGTTACATTTCGAATTTTTTTTTATTCTTTAACAAGTTTTAACTTAGTTGGAATTACTACCTGTGAAATGGAAATTTCTGAGGCTAACATAGTAAAAAATTAATTCTAGTCTTTTTGTACGCTGGGTTCAAATTCAGGGAATAGATATAGGGCTTATTAAAAAGGAGGTAGACTGACACAGACACATAGTTAAATATATTGTAATACATAGAATAATATATCCATATTATATACACAATATATATAAATACACAATATGTATATTGTGTATATAACTTCTGGAGTCAGCCATTTAGAACTGACCTTACAAATTCCTCCTCCTAAAGTTGTCTTCAGACACTTGCTCATGCAATCTCCATTCTGACACCATTGAATTCATTTCTGGGAAAAGAAAAGATTTTACAGCTTTCCTGAGACATATATCTCCCAATTCCAACCCTAGATACTAATTGTACTGGTTATGTTCTTCCACAGGATTTGTGCGTTTGGATGGAGGAGGTGGACCCTGCTCTGGGCGAGTGGAAGTGAATTCTGGAGGAGGATGGATTCCAGTACCTTATGGGAATTTCACATTACCCACTGCCCAGGTCATCTGTGCAGAGCTGGGGTGTGGCAAGGCAGCATCTTTTCTCTTGGACCTGCCCCTCAGAGAGGCCAGTGAACAGGTCTGGGCTGAAGAGTTCCAGTGTAAGGGATGGGAACCTGAGCTCTGGTTCTGCCCCAGACTGCCCTGTCCTGCAGGCAGCTGCCAACACAGAGGGGCTGTGCAAGTTCTCTGCTCAGGTGAGACTCACAGCAGGACATCTTGCACATTCTGATGTGGTAACAAATGTGAGATGTTACTAAAATCCTGTCTTCTCCTGCCAGAGTACACAGAAGTCAGGCTCATGAAAAATGGCAGCTCTCAGTGTGAGGGTCAAGTGGAGATGAAGACCTCTGGAGGCTGGAGAACACTCTGTGCCTCCCACTGGAATATGGCCAATGCCAATGTTGTTTGCCATCAGCTGGGCTGTGGAGTCGCCATCTCCACCCCAAAGGGAGCATACTTTGTGGAAGGAGGAGATGAGATCTGGAGAGACCGATTCCACTGCTCAGGGTCTGAGTCCTTCCTGTGGAATTGCCCTGTGACTGCCCTGGGTGTTCCTGCCTGTGCCCATGGAAACACAGCCTCTGTGGTCTGCTCAGGTAAGAGAGGTCAGGGCTGACTGGCACTCAGTTTTCTCATTGAGTGACATGTCTCTAAGAGCAGCAGCATGGAGAGCAGAATAGAAATATGAGATATGCCTTGGTGAAATATGATTCTTCTCAATGATCATTTATCTTTCAGACCCTGTCAAGGGTTATTGAGAGGATTTTTTTTTGATTGATAAAGTCTACAGGTTTATTATTCCCTATATAGCTGAGCAGACAGATAAACAGAGTAAGATAAAGAACACACAAAAAGAATCTGCAACATTTTCTCAAGTCTTAAACTTTTGCTACCACATTTGCTTCAAACATTTATCATTATTATTTTTATATGTTTTTACTAGATATACGTGATACTAGAATGTATGTTGATATATTATACATATCTGGAATATAAATTCTCATTCCTCAGGTTATACATGATGTAGAGTTCCAACAGTTATATAATCATAATTGCACATATGGTGATAATGTCTGATTCACTCTACTATCCTTCCTACTCTTATACAACTTCCCTTCTCTTCACTTCCCTCTGTATAATACAAAGTAACTCTATTCTTTCCTAGCACCCACATACCTTATTGTGAATTAGTATCTGCATATCAGAGAAAATATTTGTCCTTTGGTTTTGTGGGATTGGTGCGTTTCACTTGGCACAGTAGTCACCAGTTCTATCGTTTACTGGCAGATGCCATAATTTTATTCTTTTTTATGGCTGAGTAATATTTCAATGTGTACATATACCATATTTTTTAGCCATTTATCTGCTGAAGGACATCTAGGTTGCTTCCATAGCTTAGCTATTGTGAATTGAGCTGCTATAAACTGTAGCTATAGCATACTGATTTTTCAGTCCTTCAGGTGTATGGTGAGTAATGGGATAACTAAGTTAAATGGTCTTTCCATTACAAGTTTCCTGATGAATCTCTATACCACTTTGCATAATGGTTGCACCAATTTGCAGTCCCATTCATATTTTATGATTGTACCTTTCCCTCCCATATACTTGCCAATATTTATTGTTACTTGTATTCTTGATAATTGCCATTCCAATTGAAAAAACGGGATCTCCATGCAGTTTTAATTTACCTGACTCTAACTACTAGAAATGTTGATAATTTTATTATATACTGAACAATTGTATTTATTCTTCTGTGAAGTGTCTGTTCAGTACCTTAGTCCATTTATCTATTGGGTTATTTGGGTGGTGTTAAATTTCTGAGATCTTTATATACTCTGGAGATTAATGCAGGTGACAATGATTTTCTACTAATCTGTTGGCTCTCTCTGCATATTCTTGATTGTTTCCTTTGCTGTAAAGAAGCTTTTAAGTTTGAATCCATCCTATTTGTGATTTCTTGATTTTACTTCTTGCATTTAGGAGTCTTGTTAAAGGAAGTCAGTTTAGAAACTGACGTGGTGGAGATTTGGAACTACATTTACTTCTATTAGGCACAGAGTCTCTGTTCTCAAGCCTAAATCCTTCATCCACTTTGAGTTGAGTTTTGTGCAGGGTGAGAGATTTGGGCACAACTATATTTTGCTGCATATGAATTTCCAGTTTTCCCAGCACCATTTTTTTTAAGAGGCTATCTTTTCTCCAATGTGTATTTTTGGCACCTTTTTCTAGTATAAAATAACAGTATTTATGTGGGTTTATCTCTGTGTCTTCAATCTGTTCCATTGGTCTATCTGTCTTTTTGGTGCCAACACCATGCTGCTCTATAAGGTCTGGTATTTTGATGGCTTCAGCTTTATTTTTATTGCTAAGGATTGCTTTGGCTATTCTGGGTCTCTTATTTTTCCAAATGAATTTCATGACAGATTTTTATATTTAAATGAAGAATGCCATTGGAATTTTAATGGTAATTGCAATAAATCTGTATAGAGCAATTGAGAGTATGGCCATTTTGTTCAATGTTAATTCTGCTCCCCATGAACATGGGAGATCTTTACATCTTCTAAGGGAGATCTTTACATCTTTACATCTACAGTACCTAGATAAATGGACTAAGGTACTGAACAGACACTTCTTCATTTTTTTTTTCTTTAATGTTCTGTAGTTTTCATTGTAGAGGTATTTCATCTTTATTTGTTAGATTGACTCCCAAATATTTTAATTTTTTAGGCTATTTGAATGGGGTATTTTTTCTAATTTCTTTCAGAGGATTCATCACTGATGTATAGGAAAGCAATTGATTTGTGTGTGTTAATTTTATTTTCAGCTTAATTTGCTTAATTCATTTATTAGTTCTAAAAGTTTTCTGGTGGAATTTTTGGGGGTTTTCTAAATATGGGTCATGTCTTCAGCAAATAGGGATTGTTTGAGTTCTTCCTTTCCTATTTGTATCCATTTAATTTCTTTATTTTGTCTTATTTCCCTGGCTAGAATTTTAAGGACAATGTTGAAGATCAGTGGTGAAAGAGTGCATTCTTGTCTTGTTACAGTTCTTTGAGGGAATGCTTTCTGTTTTTCCCCATTTAGAATAATGTTGGTTTTGGATTTAACACATATAACTTTTACAATGTTGGGGTATGTTCCTACTATCCCTAATTTGTCTAGTGTTTTGAACATGAAACCATGCTGTATTTTGTTAAGTGTTTTTTCTGCATCTGTTGAGATGATCATTTAATTTTTGTCTTTAAGTCTATCAATGTGTTGAATTATGTTTATTAATTTCTGTATGTTGAATGAAACTTGCATCCCTGGGATGAACCCCGTTTGATCATGGTGCACTATTTTTAATATTTTCGTATGAGATTTCTCAGAATTTTAATGAGAATTTTTGTATCTAGGTTTATCAGAGATATTGGTCTGAAGTTTTCTTTCCTTGATGTGTCTTTGTCTTGTTTTGGTATCAGGGTAATATTAGCTTCATAGAATGAGTTTGGAAGGGTTTCTTTTTCCATTTCATTGAAAAGGTCTATTGGTATGGATTGTATTTGATCATAATTTGAGGTCTATTGGTATGGATTGTATTCTTGACTGATATACAATTTCTTTCAAGGTCTTGTAGAATTTGGCTGAGAATCGATCTGATCCTGAGTTTTGCTTGGTTGGTAGGCTTTTCATGGTGACTTCTATTTCAGTGCTTGAAATTGATCTGTTCATGTCCTCCTGATTCAGTTTGGTTAGGTTCATATGTCTCTAGAAATTTGTCAATGTCTTCAAGACTCTATTTAAAAAAAATAAGTATAAAATTTCAAATAGTTTCTGATTATCATCTGTATTTCAGCGATATTTCATTTTTCATCACAAACTTTTAGTAATTTCTGCTTTCTCTCTCTTTGTCTTAGTGGCTAAGGATTTATCAATTTTATTAATTTTTTTTAAAGAACCAATTTTTTTGTCAACTTTTTGAATTATTTATTTTGTTTTCATTTTATTGATTTCAACTCTAATTTTAATTTTTTCCCCTGTCTTCTATTGTATTTGGTGTTGATTTGCTCTTCTTTTGCTAGGGATTTGAGATGTAATGTTAGATTATTTATTTGTTGACTTTGTATTCTTTTAGTGAATGAGCTCAATGCAATGAACTTTCCTCTTAACACTGTCTTTATAGTGTCCCAGAGATTTTGATATGTTGTGACACTATTTTAATTTCCCCTATGTATTTTTTTTTGTTTCATCCCTGATTTCTTCTGCTATCAATTGGTCATTCAGTAGTGTATTATTTAATCTCCTGGTGTTAGAGTAACTTCTATTTTTTATTTTATCATTGATTTCTAATTTTATTTTATTATGATCTAATAGAATGCAAGGCATTATCTCTATTTTTTCGTATTTTCTAAGAGTTGTTTTGTGGCATAAGATATTGTCTATTTTAGAGAAAAATTCATGTGCTGCTGAGAAGAAAGTGTCTTTGAACATTGAGGTATGAAATACTCTATATATGTATTTAAAGTCTAAATTTTTGATTGTAATATTTAGTTCCATAGTTTCTTTAGTTTTTTGTTTGGATGATTTATCCAGTATTGACAGAGATATGTTATACTCACCTAGTATTATTGTATTGTGATCATTTTTTTCTTGAAATTGAGAAGAATTTATTTCATGTACATAGATGCTCCATTGTTTGGGGCATAAATATTTACAATTGCTATGTCTTGCATATGTATCATTCCCTTAAGCAGTATGAAATGTCCTTCTTTGTGTCTTATGATTAGCTTTTGCTTGAAGTCCACTTTATTTTATATGAGAACAGAAATCCCTGCTACTTTACAAGATCCATGTGAGTGATATAGTTTTTCCTGTCTTTTCTCTTTTAATCTGAAAATGTCTTTGCCTATGAGGTGAGCCTCTTGAAGAAGTTATATTGTTGGGTTGTGTTATTTTAATCTAACATGCCAGTCTATGTCTTTTGATTGATGAGTTCTGGCTATTTATGTTCAAAGATATTGAGATATCATTTGTATTCCCAATCATTTTGTTTTATTTCTGGTTTTTAATTTAATTTAGTTTATCCTTTGATTGACTATTCCTTCAGTGTGGTTTCACCCTTTGCTGGTTTTCACGTATATTTTTTATTTCTTCTTCCTGGAATATTTTGCTGAATGTGTTCTGAGTGCAGGCTTTCTACTTGTAAATTATTTTAAATTTTGTTTATCATGGAATGTTTTGATTTTATTTTCAAATATGAAGATTAATTTTGCTGGGTATTGTATTCTTGGCTGGCATCCATTTTCTTTGAAGGTTTGATATATATTATTCCAAGACCTCTGACATTTGAGTGTCTGGAGTGAGAAATTAGCTGGGATGCAAATTGGTTTTCCTATAAATGCAAACTGACATTTATTTCCAGAAGCCTTAACAATTTTATCCTTATTCTGTATGTTAGGCATTTGAAAGAATGAAAGCAAGGAAGAAAGAGAAAGAATGAGCAACAGAAATGAAAAATACATTTCATTTTTCTCATCATTTCCTGACTCATAAATTTGGGAAGGGCTCTTGGCAGTTGCCTCTTGGGATCTGTCATAAGGTTACACTTGAATGCCATGTGGAACCGAGATCATTTGAATGCTTGACCCATTTGGAAATCCAGGATAGTTCATTCACATGGCTGGTAGCTTGAAGTTCAATTGGGGCTGTTGACAGAACCACCTGCAAATGTTCTCTCCCACATCATAGTCTCTATACAATGGATATGCCATAAATCAAACATCCTAAAGAGAAGGAGGCATGACTTTTTAAGCTAGATTCCTAAGTCAAGCTATGTTGGCTTCACCACATTCTATTGCTTATAGACAACCCACCATGGTCAGCCCATATTAAAGGTAAGGAGGAATGGATTCCACAGGTCAATGAATAGAGCATCACAGATTTTGTGGATATTTTTTAAAGCTATATGTGCATTGAATATCTGAATTTGTGTATTTTCTAAGTTATATTTTTAACACTATCATAGTGGCCTTAATTACCTAAGACTTATAGATTACATAGGAATGTTAGGTTCTCTCACCATGTCTCTCAAATCCATGTTTATAGTTTCTATCCTTATCTTTCTTGCTTTATTCTATATTTTTTCTATGTTTTTGAACTTTGCAATTTCTATTCTGTGATAATCTAATATTGTTGACTCATCTTTGGGTTCTTATTTTTAGCTCTTGACTTTTTAACTCTCAAATTTTTATTAGATTTTTGTGATAATTTCTCTGCTAAGATGCACATCATGCCATTTAATAAACCATTTAATCATGATTATATAAATTTCCTATAAAGAAACACCAATACTAATATGTGAAAATATTTCCCATTTTTTTCTTATTTTTCCTCTTTGTTCTCTATTAAATTCTATTTCATGTGGTATTTTGGATCAACATGGTTTTGAGAAACTATACAAAACCTTCAGAGAGGATTTTATTTTGCCTCTTCTGGGTACTTTATTTAAGGTAGATCACGTTACACAAAAACAATTAAAGTTTTAAGAAACTGGGCACCATCCCTGTGACAAAAATTCTTTCAGTTGACAAAATACGATACAACTTTCCTGGTTGTTTAACATGATTCCTCCTTTTGTGCTTGACATAAAGCACAAAAGTGTCATAGTCAGAAACAGAAATCTCCATTAGGAGAACAGTTCTGAAGATGAAATTACTGATTTTGTACTATAGCTGTCAGATGTCATCACTAGATTATTATGTACCTTAATTAAGTTTCCTGCTCTCTACTCCCAGGTGTAGGTAGCCAGATCCAGCTGCTGACCCAGTGCAATAACTCCTGGTCTGACCCAGCAGGCTCTGTAGACACAGAAGGGCACACTCTCAACTGCTCAGGTGAGCAAGGCCCTCAGCACAAGAGCCTCCCCATTTCCTGTACAAATGCCTGACATGATCCTGTTTCTCCACAGACAGCAGACAGCTCCGCCTGGTGGATGGGGGCAGTCACTGCGCAGGGAGAGTGGAGATCCTACAGCAGGGCTCCTGGGGCTCCATCTGTGATGACAGCTGGGACCTGAGTGATGCCCATGTGGTGTGCAGACAGCTGGGCTGTGAAGTGGCCCTGGAGGCCACCATCTCTGCTCACTTTGGAGAGGGATCAGGGCCCATCTGGCTGGATGAGCTGAATTGTACAGGAGAGGAGACTCATGTGTGGCAGTGCCCTTCCCAGGGCTGGGGGCAGCACAACTGCAGACATAAGGAAGATGCTGGGGTCATCTGCTCAGGTCTGTGGTTCACACTGAGTGTAGGTGGGAGAAAGTGAGGAGGTTGTGCAGGATGGTATCTGAGCTTTAGGGCAGAGGAGGGGAAATTGGTCTCAGTGTGGATGGAGAGGAGGCTCACCCCACAGTGCCTGTCCCTCTAGCAGAAAAGATGAGGTGCTTCCATTTTCTGCTGCAGCAGCTTAGCTTCTGCTTCTTCCTAATCATCCCTGCCTCCTGACATTCATTCTCTTCAGTGTCCATTTGACTGTAGACCTCATGCTTCAGTTACTGTGTGTGCAACATCCTAAGACCCCACTGTATTAGTTTCCTAATGCCGTTATAATAAATTGCCAGAGTTAATGACTTAAGACAACATGAGTTTAAGTCTGACCCCAGTTCAACTGAGATATAAACAAGGTGTCAGTGAGCTACATTCAGCTGAGGCTCTGGGAATACTCATTTCCTTACCTTTTCCAGCATCTAAAAGTTACCTGTATTTCCCTTCCTTATTCAAGTCAACCACCTTTTATACTTCTGACTATTTTTCATCTTTACATCTCTTTTTGTCCAGGGTCAGAAATCATTATCTGCTTGTAAGAATAAAGATCTAAGTATGTGGTTAGACTGAGCTCATATGGTTAATCCAGGATAATATAAAATAATTTCATCATTAAAAAATCCTCATATTGATCTTGTTTGCAGGCACTCTTTACCTCACAAGATAATCTATTCCCAAGCTCCAGGATCAGGAACTGACATATCTGGGACTTCACTATTCTGCCACCTCACTGTCCATACCCAATTTCCCAAGGTCTGTCATATATTTAGTCAAGTAGCTTTTCCTCCCTCCCTTCAAGAGCCCCACTTCAGTTTTCCTGACTGTTCATTTTCCACTACACCATTGTCATAGAAATAGAAAGAGACATACAAGTTATCAAAACAGGTCAAAGGATAAAAGTTTCATCTTTCCACCTGGTGGGCATTTCATCAGAAAAGTTAGCAATGAGCACTCAATAACTAGGGATAGCATAAGTGTTAAATACTCACTATGTCCTGTTTCCTTCCTCTTGGTTTCAGAGTTCCTGGCCCTCAGGTTGGTGAGCGAGGACCAGGAGTGTGCTGGGTGGCTGGAGGTTTTCTACAACAACACCTGGGGCAGTGTCTGCCACAGCCCCATGGAAGCTGTGACCTTGTCCGTGATCTGCAGACAGCTTGGCTGTGGGGACAGTGGGACTCTCAACTCTTCTGTTCCTCTCAGAGAAGGTTCTAGGCCTCGTTGGGTGGATGGAATCCAGTGTAGGAAAATGGACACCTCTCTCTGGCAGTGTCCTTCTGACCCCTGGAAACAGAGATCTTGCTCTGCAAAGGAGGAAGCTTATATCATGTGCTCAGGTGACTTACTCCCTATTCCTGTGTCCTCACTCTGTAAGTTGTTAGAGAAATTTCATACTTTCAAAGCAGAAGAATGAGTTCAAATAAGTCTATGGGGCACAAGTTTGAATAGAGAATTTTAGCCTCAATTTACAATCTTGTTTCGATGACAGAATTAAATAAACCTGTTATTACATTTATGTGAAAAATGCCATGGATATTAAATTGAGCATGTAGAAGCATGAACTTACCCTCTAAAAAATGTCTAAGCAGATGGCTAGTGCAGTCTTAGGCTATAATAATTACTCTGCATTTCCATAACAGAGTGAGAAATTTGACCTCACTTATATAAGTCACTTGCTGTGTCCTGTCATAGTTTTAGGTTTTTTTTCCACATGTAATGCAAGTTAAACCACTCAGCAATCTTTTCATAGGTATTATGGTGATCATTTAATCCATATGTGGAAATTAACATTAGGAATAAGCACTTCATTCACCCCATACACTCAAGAGAGTGAGGGACAACTTGGGGTAATCAGTACTAGTGGGTTATCTTTGAGATCATGGTCTTTTACTCTGAAATCCATCAACATCAGTCAGACAAACGATAAGCTCAGATTGTTGATGATAAGTAACTGAGTGAATTACATCCAGAAACTTAATATGAGGCATGAGGAGGAAAGACAAGAATAACATACTCTCTGTGTCCTCATGAAGTTTACCCTCTAGCATGACAATACACACCAGCCATAAATGTGTGTCATGAAGAAGTGGAAGGTGCTATGGAAATGCGTAATTTGAGGAAAAGAGAAATCATGTTTATGTTGAGACCAATGAAGGAAGTAGATGTCAAATGAAAAAAGTGAGAGCTTTTGTTCAGTGTAAATGCTGAAGTATGAAAAGTCTGGTGACCTTGAGGGACTGATAAAATCCCATCATGAGCAGAGTAGGAAGAAGTTGGGGAGAGTGATGCCTGATTAACTGGATGGATAAGAAGAGTTCAGATCCTTTCCAAGGCAAGGTCCTCATACCAATTTTGTTGAAAAGTTGTTTGTTAATATTTTCCTCTGCCACATTATGGGGAATTACTGTGAGATGAGGGTCCTAGTCGCCCCTTATTTTCTTCTTGAATTCATCTCCTCACAGTCTTGTGGTCTTGTTTGATATTATCTCCTCTGAGCCTTTATCCATATGCTACTGCAAATGAACCACTTCATCTGCCTCCCAGAAAACATTCTATGGAGTTTGTTGGAAATTGGAGGCTATTGTCTTCCAATTTCATAAGACCTGTAATGTGTGCTTCAGTTTTATATTTTGATAAAAACCTGGCTGTCCTCTGAAAATAATGATATCATTTGAGGGTCTGTTCTTCTCTTTCAAAAGGATATTTCTGGGCCAAATCTTAGAATAAAAGTATTCCTGTTTTCCTTTGTCATTTTCCACAATTTCTTTTCTTTTCTCTCCATGTCCATCTACTTGAAATTTGCCCATCAGATGGCACCAGCTACCACTTCAGTTGGTGTCACTCTCCAACCTGGTCACACCCTCTCATCCAGGAAAGCTGCAGTACCAGGCTCACCAGGCTCCTCTGTCTTCTGTTCCTGGTGCTGCCAGCATCCTTGAATACAACTGAGATAACACCCTGGCCTCTTTATTTCTGACTTTCTCCCTTAAAAGCTCCACTTACATCCCATCTCCCTGTATGGCCACACTATTGTCCATCACTAACTGTCCAGCTTGAGATCTTTTTTGTATCGTTCCTTCTCTGACTGTTGCTTCTTCTGCTTATGGGACTATCATGATGCTCCTTTTCCAGATATTTCATCCTCATGCAGATTCCAAGTGTTTTCCCTTATCAGGTTTTCATTTTTCCACTCTCCTCATGATTGCAGATGTTCTTCTTACCCTGATTAGACAACATGATGCTGCATTATAATCCTCCCCCTTCAAGTATACTCAATTCCCTGCTCTCTTCTTTATCTGTCAATGAGAAGAATGGTTGAGACAACTACCTAACTCTCCACTGCCTGCACTGGACTAGGCAAGGACTGCTGAATCATGGACAAGTACTGTGTCTTGTTAAAATGTGAAATTACCCTGCTAGTCTCTTTGAATTTGTGACCCAATCTCTGATGGATCCTCCACACTGGCCCCATATTGTAGTGTGATTCTCTCTCATGTGCTCTTGCCCACTCTCTAACATGACATTTTACAAATTTCCTGATCTCTCCCTCATTTCTATTTAAACTGCACCATACACATAAATGATGATCTTCCCTCAAACTTCACTGGAAATTGAAACTCTCAGCTGTCTATCTTATTTATTTTTTATTTTCTAATTTATTGATTATTATTCTGCCTTAGAGTCTTGTAACTTTTCTCTTCAATATCTAAATTTTAGACTCTGTATTCTTCCTTAGCTCTTTCCCATCCCTTTTCTCATTGGGGTCCATGGCCCTAGATGATATTATTCCACCCACAGCTCCCAATATAAACCTTCATTCCTGATCTCTGCCCTTAAATTTATTTCATTGCTAATGGATACTCTCGCTTGCAAATATAATGGGCAGCTCAAATTTAGTTTTCAAAATAGAGTGTTTTATTCCACCCCTTTAAGCCCTGCCTCTAACTTTTTCTCCCTGTTTTATTTCCTTCCCAGTTAATGCCACTGTTATTACCCAGTTACTTATTCTCAGTCTACATTCATGTCTTAATGTCTTCATTTTACTCTCTCTTCAGTTCCAATGTAATAGCAAGTTCTATGCCTCTACCAGCAAATACGTCTTAAATCTTTCTTCTCCAACTTTCCCACTCTCTTCTTAGTTCAGGAAAGATCATTTGCAGCTTGGACTCTTCCAACAGTCTTCAGTGGTCTTTGACTTGTATAACATACTGTCTATTTAATGCCAGGAAGATACTCATTTGATTACCAACTTGATTAATGTGTGCTGTGTCACAAGTGAGCTGCCCTTAGAAGTGACACTGGCACATTTCTTTGTGGCTCCCAAATGCAGAAACAACTGGGAACATATCTCGGGAGTCTGTAATTAGTCTAATTATCAGAAATGCCAAGGAAGATGTAGTCAGCTTATTGTTCTTGGACTTTGAAGGACTTTCTATGGAAGAAGGAGGAGAGTGTGAGCCACTCCAGAGGTCAGGGCTGTGACTCTCGGGTACAGATTTCTACTTGTTGGGTTTGGGTTCACTCTAAGTTTAAGTAACACTTATGAACCTCTCCATGTGAGGACCCCCAGGGAATGAGTAATGCTGTCTGTCTGGGCAAAGAGCACTGGAGGCATGAAGACATGACCATCTCACCTCCTCTTAAGCTGTCCCATCTTTTTTTTTCTTTTTCCACAGAATCAGCCACATGCTTAACACTAGGAGATTTATGTTCTTCTCTCTAGTTTGTTTTTGCTATGGAGTTAAACAATATCTTTTTTATTATACTGAATTACTGAAACCTTAATTACTCATTGAAATCAACGAAGACATATAAAAAGATAAAAGGTACATTAGTGACATTGCATAACCCTTGTCTATTCATAATCCCCTGATGTGAATAGGATTAATGGACTGGTAATTACTATTTTTTCTAAATCCTCCATTTTCATGGAATCCTATCAAAACTCATATAGTGATAAAAGCATTTATCTTATGATATCTTTTTATTTGGTTTTAAAATATTGGGATTATATCATACTTACTATTGTTACATAAGCTTTTTTTAAGAATTATTATGCATATTACTCAAGTAGAACTGACACTTTTGTTAAATAACTCCATAATGTTTCATTCTTAAGTGACTAGTATTCCAGTTTGCATAAAATTTTGCTATTAATTTATAATTCTTTTATATTTTTCCCTTCTACAAACAATATTGTAATATATATCCTTACACATGTAACACTGCATATTAGTAGGTTTGTTACTACAAGGTGACTGCCAATGGTTGTAAGATCACATGACATCTATTTAAAAAATATTTTCATACTTTGTAGGAGCAACTGTTTTTGATTGGCATTTCATATCTTGATAGAAAACACCAGCATTTTTATTATAACTTGACCATTCAACTGAATTCAAAAAAAAAAAAAAAACATATAGAACTTCAAAAATCAAAAAAGGAACAAAGCCCACAAACCTCTGCTAGGAACTGCCTGAAATCCAGGGAGAATGCAATGATAAATGATGGTAAATGTTTCAAAAGCAATTGCTTACTCTTTTCCCTTTCCTACTTTTCCACACCTTATTTTTTTCTTTTCCTTGTAGAGGCTGAGGGATAATAAATTATAAGAATATATATTTATAATGTTTTTCCCTACAATAGACTCTGTATATTGAAATAGTGAGACATCCAATCCTGAAATTGAGCATTCACCAAAGAGAGGTCCTGTGATCGTTTCTAGAGATGTTCTCTGCATAGGTTAGGAGATTGACAGAATAATGGGGATAATGTATACCCATAAAGGTGTTAGGACAAGTGCCATGTATGTTTTCTCTGTATTGTTTTTTTTTCATTTTCATATATTATTTGTTTTGCTTTACTTGGCTCTATGATACATCTATGTCCTTTCATGTATTAATTATCTTTAGTGTATTATATTTTTATGCCAATGTTTCTATCTTACCAGCTAAGTCTTGTGTACTTATTAACTTTATTCTAAATTTTACTTATTTTATTTATGTAAAAATACATTTAATTTATTTAAAAGAATACTTTCAATTAAGTTGAATGAATACTTTCAATATGTTTATAATTTTTCATTAACAATATGAGGGATATTGAGTACAAATCACTTTTTGGATTATGTAGTATTTATGTTTTAAACGTCTATTATTTATTACCACAAATCATCAATATTAACTTACATTTATTTTATTACCTTTTTGATTAGCAAAAATTCAAAAAAAAATTTTCCAGCAGATTTTACTCATCTATTTATTCAATCAGTAAATATTTATCAAGCCACTTTCATAACATTCATGGAAAGTCACCTGTACATACTTCTAATGAATGCATTCAACATGCCAGGTGCCATCCTGTTTATAGGAACAGAGGGAATGAAGCAAGGTCACCTTTCTAGTGGAGTTTTCTCTGGGTTATGCATGTCTATGTGTGTTTTAATGTACACACATGAACATATTCATGATCCTGTTAGTATTTTTTCACATACTGAGCACAGTAAGAACAAGTAAACTGAAAAATAATTTCAGCTGCTGATAGGGATATGCTCTAGGGGATGTCTCAGTAACCCATCCTGTTAGACTATTTCTGAAGCACCTTTTCTCCAGCTGTCACCCAAACTGAGCCCAGGACCTTAGAGAGCCTTGTCTTGGGGCAGGATCACCTCAGTTGCTCCTGAACCTGTGCTTCCCCACTGTCTGCTCCTGCAGGAAACAGACCCAAGAGCTGTCCAGCCACTGCGCCCTGCACAGGTACCTCATCCCCTCCTTTGGCTTCCAGGGGCTCCTTTCCTCTTGCCAGGGCAATAAACGGAGGTGCTGCTGCTTTTTCAGACAAAGAGAAGCTCCGACTCAGGGGAGGAGACAGCGAGTGCTCAGGGCGAGTGGAGGTTTGGCATGAAGGCACCTGGGGCACTGTGTGTGATGACTCCTGGAGCCTGGCAGAGGCTGAGGTGGTGTGTCAGCAGCTGGGCTGTGGCTCTGCCCTGGAAGCCCCAGGGGAGGCTGCATTTGGCCCTGGAAATGGAAGCATCTGGCTGGACGAGGTGCAGTGCAGGGGCAGGGAGCCCTCCCTGTGGGCCTGTGCTGCAGCACCCTGGGGACAGAGTGACTGCAAGCATGAGGAAGACGCTGGTGTGAGGTGCTCTGGTGAGTAGCAGGATCAGGATGGGGGGACAGGGTTGAAGGAGTGTGTTTGCATCCAAAGGGCTTCCCAGGCTGCCCTGCTTCCCTGAGCCCTGGCTCTGGAAGGCTGTGCCCAATCTCCTGGCATCTGAGAGACAACCATGTCAGTGGTGGTGGTTGGGATTGAGCAACATTCCCAGACCTACACAGTACAATAATTCCATTTTCTTTCTCTTCTCCCCAGGTGAAAGGACAACAACTCGTCCCACCCGAAGAAGTAAGTGGTTCTTTTGCTGTGACCCAGGTAATGGAGGAGATAGGCAGATTTTCAGTGTTCTGTGCATTGAAAATTTAGATTTTCCGTCTACACAGCTCTGGTCATATTACAGTAGGCCTGATGATCAGGTGTAAGAAGAAGCCATCACTTGTGTTAAGTTGTAGCAGTCAGAGAGCTCCAAAGCCATATCCACATTTACTTTATAGAAATCTCTTAAAATCAGACTCAGAAGATATTTGACACATCCCAGAGCAGGATCTAGGGTGGTAATCCTGGGATTCAGGCAG